TTGATTAGAAAACGACAACGTGGGACATTTCAAAGATGTAAAATTGCTCAGTTTTTACATCATCCCTTCATTTAAATATTTAACCTCGCTAAAGAATATGTGAATCTAATTTATTTTGCCGAGTAAACAGAAAAGTAACACAAACCACCGTTAATCAAAACGTCTGACCTAAACATTCAATTTCCACCAAACTTTGAAGGACTATTGTAGATTAAATTTCAGATTCTTGAAGTGTATATAAAAAGTAAAACTTTGTAGTTTTAGAAAAGAGTTATAGCTATGTTTGCTTAATGAAATTGGAGCCACAAAAATCAATTATTGCAAAAAAATCATTTTTCTGTGTGCAGCAGCTTTATTGTACACCAACAATCTTTAGCTTTTCCAAAATATATTCAATGTGTCATCGCCAATCCACCATATCTTGAAATGATTAATGAACAATTTTGCCCAATAAAGTTCTTATTAATGGGACTTATTGCTGCTTCTTGTCCAATAAAATACCACAAATTAAATTAGTTTTGAATGTATTTCGTTTTAAGAACGTCCTCATTAAACATAGCTTGTGCATGATGGGACGCTTTAATTTATCAGTGCATATTCACTCAAAACTTAGAAACTGTTTGTTTTATATAATTTGAGAAGTTACCTTGAACAATATATTGTTTTGAACACCATCAATGGTTGCCAATATTCAAATCAGTGAACTCAAAATTTAGTAAAATTATTGTCAACAGAAGAGCATCTCATCAATTGTACTCTCTCCAAACATGCTATTACAAATCAAACGCATGCCTTCAGAGATATAAGTAACTAAATGTTCCCTTAATCCTCGTGAGGTTTAGTAAAACTCCTTCGGTTCCCGCATATCACAATGATCTTTGCTTATAGATAACCAATGAACATGCAACAAAACAGCAACTATATATCGAAACATTTGTCAAAAAAAGATGGTATTGTAACGCTGTGGAAGGAAGTGTATAAGCTAGTTATAGCTTTTAGAAAAAGTCTTAGTTTGTCAAAGTTAGATGTAAATGAAATGCAATTACATTTTAATCTTTCTGTCAATCTATAATCTTCACTTGAATTTTTAAAAGAACGTGCAGTTATAATTGTTAAATGTTCACACGTAAAAACTAGAAAATAATAAAAAAGAACAACTTTCATGCAGCTAACACTGAATTATGATAGTTTAGCAAGTTGCAGATTATACCTATCGTGCGAAGAATATTTTGTTAAAACAATCGTAAGAAGTCTTCTTGAGTCTGTATATTGAACTACATAAAAGACGTCTTTAAAAACATTATGTAATTTGAACACATAAAACCACTAAGACAAGAACATGCAAGTGATTGAAAGGTAGTGTTTTGTTATTTAACTTAGCTCAAATTTGTCTCTTTGTAGCACTTCCAAAAATACAACATCTTTCTGTCAAGTCTTTCATGGATTAGGGGATTGACTTTGTACGAGCAAAGAATTTTAAATAAAGGAGCAATGTATATAATTTTTACGTTTTTAATTGGCGTAAAATAAAAATGCACAAAACCTGTCATACAATATATACGACCTACTAAAAAACAGAAAACAGTTATTGCACAAACGAAGTTTTTTTTAAACTCTGTGTACATCTTCGAAGACTGGAACTTGTGAAGAATTGTAAATGAGTGAGACTGTGTTGTATTAAAGTAAGCTCTCAGGGCTTTTATTTTTTTGGAACAATGCTTGAGCAATTCTGGAGTAGCTAAGTGAAAGAAAATATTATAATGAAAATGTAAAAACAAGTAAAATAAGCAAACGATTCATAAATGTAATAATGACGTCAAAGATCCACAATGCGCTCATGAAATTTCATTCAAATTGTCGTAACAAACCAAAGATGTACGCTAAACCACAAACAATTTTTTTCTTTCGTCGACTAAAGAAAAGTTTCAATGGATTGACGAACGCACGATGACGTTGAAACGAAATGATAAACATCATAGGACACTCCACTTGTTGTAAACAAAAAATAAATGTGATTTATATCAACACAGTTAAAGAAAACTATGACGCTTTTGAAATGCTAAAGAAATATACATAACAATGGCAGCACGTCACATATTGCAAGACGCAAGAAAAGAAAGTCATAGTTCTTTTTTTAATGAATCTTTTTTTTTATATTGACGCTATCTAGGGGCGGATCCAGGATTTTTAATTCCTTAGTCGGAAGGGCGTGGTCGAACAAAATTTTAATAAATGGGCGTGGTCGCATTAGCTAAAAATTCTGCTAACGCAACATTGTTAATATGATGAATTATAAGGACTGTTTCACCCTATATCAGAGCTCATCAGCATGCCTAGGAAATGGCACCCTCACCACGTGAAAATGCAATTCCGACATGGACAGCCTCAACGTAATGAGAAGCCTTAAACAAAAAGAGAGCAGTCTGGTTTTAAGGCGCCAGATACTCGCCTTTCACACCTTTGCAACAAAGCAACAGGAGTTTGATTAGAAAAGCGACAACGTGGGACATTTCAAAGATGTAAAATTGCTCAGTTTTCTACATCATCCCTGTCATTCTAATCCTTTAACCTCGCTCCAAGAATATGCACACACATAATCTGAATCTAATGGTTATTTTGCCGAGCTAAACAGAAAAGTAACACAAACCACCGTTAAAGAAAACGTCGAAACGCTGACCTAAACATTCAATTTCCATAAATTTTGACGATACTCCAAGCTCAAACTGATTTCTTTTATAAAAGTTATTGTTTAGGAAAAGATATGCTATTGACTGGTGACACAGTTAACTTATTAATTCCTTTGAGAGCATGACTCCAAATGTCAGTAACCCTGTTAATGATGAAGTTAAATATTTGGTCTTTCATAAGGTCAATTGTTCCTTCACAAGTATCACAATTAGACAAAGTTGTTGTTATTCCCAGATCAAAACGCATATGCATTAATTAAGACCTTACAAAGGTGAATATTTCTTGTATGTTAGGTAACTTCATCAAAACGCGCATCATATATATTTTAAGATGTAGATCGCCCGGGTTAGTATAGTCCTTAGAAGGACTGTTGGTGTTGATGTTGACTGACGTTTCGACAACCTTAGTGGTGGTCATATTAAAAGTCTAGTGACAGAAGATGTTGTATATTTGTACCATTTTCACAGAGATACAAAAGCAATTGTGCTGTGTATGACACACATAAATTGACGTTTTCAATGTTCTTTTAAAAAGTGCTACGAGAAAGAGATGAAATACTACATCCAATATTCCTAATTCAAACTTGAATAGACATATTAAAATGATGCAACACATCATACAAATAATTTCAAAATGGTTTCACGCAGGCTCAGAGGATTACCCTTGTGAAATTATTTAATATACAAAATTAAGGCTAAGTGACACGTTTGTCACTAAGATTTATGAGATATCATGACTATACAAAAAATTAGAAGCTCTTTCTTTCCTTCTCGTCAAAACTATAATGACCAAGCCTAAAGAGTCAAATTTTTACAATTTCAGTTCTAATCGCCGGTTTCCATACGCAAATTTATTGATCACCTCATCAACAGTATTTCCTGATGTATTCGCATTAGTGCAAGTCCATTTAAGCGTTCTTCAACCATCGTACTTCTGTTGTAAGTTTTAAGCATGCAAAGTGCTGAAATAGAGCGTTCGCACTCACAAGAAGTAACTGGAAGAGTGGCTAGTAACCGTAGACATGCCTTAATATTCTCAAAACCTTCAAACCCTAAAGCTTTAAGTGTGGAAGCTGCACTGTCCGGTAATGATCCCTCATATGTTGTCCAAAACTTTTCCCATAATTCCAATTCAGCATCTAATCCTAAGGGATTAGGAAGATCATCTTTGTAAAAATCTGAAAACAAACGAAAATTCTCTTTCCAATTCTTTTTGTTTGGTGGAAGACTGTTAATTAGCGAAATCATTTTTGATGGAACAACGCTAAAGCCGTTATAAACGTTGATTTGACTAAAATCAAATCTTGCCTGAAGATCAGAGTTTAAGTGGTCTAGAAAAGGAATAGTGAGAGCCTTTTGTAATAATCTGAAGCGCTAGAAGATGGGTGATTCTCATTGTGAACTTGTCTGCCAGCTGTTCTGGGCATTTTTCATCGACATCTACGTTTTTAGCTAAAGAAACTGCTTCACTATACCATTTACCATGATGAAAATCAACATCATTCCTCAATAAAATTCCCAAGTTTTTTAATGACTCAATTAAATGCATTCCATCCATAACATCACAGGTTTTAGCTTGTAATAACTGAGTAACAGGAAGTGTTAAATCTAAAATATTTCTACTAATGACAAGGCTAACAATAAATCTGAAGGTGGAAATCAATGCTAGGAAAGAAGAAGCTTTAGAAGATGTTTCTGGATTACACACATGACCAGCATTATGGCTCATTTCAGTTAAAGTATGAAAAATTGGAAGGAATAATTCTTGAAATATATCTAGACCATCTATTCGCTCAATCCATCGAGTTCGACAAACATCCTTTAACTTTGATTTACCTGAATGTGGGCAATAGTCTTCAACTGCTTTTGAAAGTAACATTTGCCGTCCATCAGAGAGATTGAAAAGTAAGAAAGTTCTTTAATTTGACAAAAACATTTCTGACAAAGGGACAGAACATGAATTACATAATGCAAGATTTAACCTATGGCTGTAACAGTGGGTGTAGATTGCTTTAGAATTCAAACGAAGAATGCGTGCAGAAAGACCATTGATATGCCCTGCAACAGCCCCAGCTCCATCATATCCCTGACCTCTGCAATCCTCAATGCTTAATTTAAGTTCTGTTAATGCACTGTGAATTAATTTCTCAAGACTTTCCCCTGATAAACCCCATTTGCAGTGCAAAAACCTCACAAAATCTTCTCTAACATTCCTATTGCAATCCACAAAACGAATCACAAGAGAAAGCTGCTCTTTGTCTGCAGAATCTGCTGCTTCATCAGCAATTATACTAAAAAATTTATTTATTTTTATTTCACTAGTTATTTTTTCAGTGATAACCTGTCCACAAGCAGCAATTAGATCATTTTGAGTAGTCTTTGAAATATAAGAAGCATTCTTTGGACAGTTTTTCAAATGATCAGCTAAAACTGTGTCACCAGCCCGAACACGAAAATTTAACAATTCAACATAGTTACCAACACCACCTTTTGAGTAAGAACCAACCTCCGGATGATATGAAGAATCATCACGGTGCCCTCTTAATGCTAACCCAAGTCTACCACAAAGTTTAATAGTATCAATTATTGATACAAGTTTTTCCCTATTTTGCCTGATGACTTGCTGTTTGTGCTCATCAATCAACACCTCAATCTGCAGTCCTTCTCCTGATGCCTGACCAACTAATGACAAATATTTATTACGTGTGCTTTCGTGCAAACCTGCTCTGGTGAGAGCCTTAGAACTCAAACCAATATGGCGTTTGAAGCAAGCTTTAGCATCAGGCCAATATCTCATTGGTTCACTAAAAAGTTTTTTAATTTTTGTATTTTTATTCGGAAACTGATCACCAAACAAAACACAAGGCAGACAAAAAGCACCATCCAAAGAAGGGGAGTAACACAACCAAGAATAATCTTCCAGCCACGAATAAAGAAAAGATCGACCATCAGCTGATTTAGGAAATGGGTAGGATCTATTCGGTTTAAAAACATTGTGAATGAGCTGGAGCTTTTGAGAATCATTCATATTTCTAGCTTTTTCTCTAAAATATCTCACATCATTTGGATATTGCTGTGAAAAATCTAATGAAAATGATTGCAAAAGTTCTTGTTTTGGGTTATGTATTAATTGTGTTTGATTGTGTTGATTGTGTTTGTGTAGTACTAAATAATTTGGGCAAAATAAATTTTTTAGCCTTATTACTTGCTGGGGTTGAAACTGGTTGAAAAAAATTAGAAATGTTAACAGTAGAAGACTCTCCTTTCAACTTTGCCTGAACATGAGGAATTTTCTTGTTAGCTTTTTCTAACAAAGCAGAAGCCTTTCTTTTAGTTTTACTGATAGGTTTGAAAATAAGAGGTGCAAAGTGATTTGGCTTAAAGACTTTACTAGAAGTCAATAGAGTTGTAGAACAAAACAAGAGGTATAAATAGTTATATTGAGTAGGTGGTGTTGGTAAAGGAAGACGAGGTGAAATAATTTGGTTGAATAACAACTTAAAAGAAACTTCTCCACAATCAGGATACATCAAAGAAATGATTCTATTAGTAACTGAGGAGAGAGCAAGTATACACAAAAACTACCCCAAATTTTATCTCTACAGTTGCAAAGAGCTTCCATTTTAACAAGATCAAGCCCTGATAAACGTGAATCCACACTTTCAAAACAACAGGACATAGCCAAAACATTTTTTGCACTAACAGAGACCTTGTCACCATGCTTCTCTAAGGTGGAAGTGAATATTGGATGATAACAATAATAATTTGCATATATAAAAAGCTCTATAGATACCATAGCTCTCAAAGTGTGAATGAGAGCATTGCTTCCAACCAAGGCCAGAGAAGCAGAGCTGTATAGACAATTTCCAGATGGTTCAGATCTAATAAAACAGCAGTCGAAAGATTTCTTGATTATTATAAGACTGCAACAATTTATGCAATGTCAACAAAGCGAGTTAAAAGCGATCATTTCAACAACAATGAAATGACAACAAATCGGCAGTTTTGGTCTTAACGTGTCATAACAACTACGCAATTAGGCTTATATTCATTTCTACTTATCTTAATTTAACTAATTTTACCTTAGAGCAACCGATGGCTTCGTATTGTCGGCCTTCACATGATGAGGCAAATAGACTGTCTCAGCATTTACATCACGATACAAAGATCGTCCAATTAAAGGAAAATGCTCTTCAGGCATTAAGAAACGAGAAGAATTATATATACCACATAATTCCTCAAAGGTCTTAAGCAAAGCAACATCATCACTTTTTTTTAAGTCAGAGAGAACCCGATCTAAAATACTGCTAGAGTTAGCCATGACGATCGATAAATATTCAAGCGCAATGAAGCAGACAAATATATTCCGACTAAGTTCGCTACAACAACCAATCAAATCCGAAGATTCGGCAACATCTTATACCAAAAATAGATATATCCTGCAAAAAACTAACAATGTTGACCAATCACAAGCTTTAAATTGGTATAGATCCTGCAAGAAATCTCCATCAATTACAGCTATATAGCTGGTTCGTCTGGGCAAATCAGAATCACAGAATGAACATAGATCCTGCAGATCCTGCACGATACGCTAACCAATGAATGCTCGCAAATTGATCAATTTAAACCAATCAAAATCGGTATATGGACCCAAATCCTGCGGAAATTTTAAAGCACTCAAGTGTTATAATTTAAGGAATACCCACGGAATTTTTTGAAAGTGACACGTTAATACGTTAGTCGCCCGACTTAGTTGACTAAGTTTAAATCCGCCTCTGCTATCACAAGTGTATTTCCAACAATACCAAATACTCATATTGCTATATGCCACACAGGGACGACTTTCATAATAATATACTTAATCAATTTGAGCTACTTAATGTATGGGAGAGCTCGATTTTCTTTATTTCATGTTTTAAATGGATTTCCAATAATGTCAAATACACATCTTGTTACAATGGAAAATATTAAAAATATCCATAACGATATCATTGATATAACACATTTATATAAATTGTGACTATTAAATGTAGGTTAGAACAGATAAATCTGAAATTTTGAAAAGTTGTACTGTAAAGTTGTTTAACCAAATATCAAAGAACTTCACTGCCGTTCAGTAATTCCTTTTCCAGTGAATAAACAAAAGTCCAATATAGCGTAGCATTACGGCTGTGCTAATAAGCACGTCTTTAAGAATAGAACTCGTAGAAATTATTATGAATTGGCCATTTTCTATGACAAAAACCCATATTAGATTCTGTTGAAATGAATTATTTCACCAAATTGAGAAAAGTACCATTCATTGTCAATAACTCCCATTTATTAAATGTTTGCTAATAGGAAAGGTCGTAGCTACAAACAAATACGCTACGGGAATTTTTTTTACATGTGTGTGGATTTTTACAGGTTAGTAGAGTTCTGATAAGGATGTTGGTGTTGATGTTGTCTGACGTTTTGACAACCTTAGCGGTAGTTATCTTCAGAATCAAGCAAGAATTGATTGCAATAAACATTTTGTCGCCTGGAAAATTAATTAAGTCAAATAATTAAGAAAAATAATTAAGTCGACTTGGAGTTCATTATAAAACGAATCAGGGGAAAATGTGCGTGAAATCTTTTGCTCAATACTTTCATAGGCTGTATTTTATCCCCAATTCTGCATTTTATCTTCAATTCTGCGTTTTATAACCAATTCTGCGTTTTATTCTAAGCCAGTACCAACCTAAGTGGCAACGTAAGTAGCAATCTAAGTGACAACCTAAGTGACAACCTAAGTTGCAACATTAGTCGCAAGATAAGTCACAACTTGAAAGGAAAAAAATGGAGGAACGGTCCCTTATGAGCCATTATAAAATACATATATTTTCGAGGTCCAATATTTGAATATTACACTTTATAATCATCAAACTCTGGACTTTGATTTGAATACTCAATTTTTGTTTATCGATTTCGACAGAAATATGTTTACTCGTATTTTTGTCAGCAACGGAACGTGATAATACGTTGTCGTGTCAATTAAGCATGACACATTGACTTGATATAATTTCAACCGGAACTGGGAAAGCCATAGATTTTACTTGGAAAAACAATTGCGTAAAACAAAGGAGAGGTTTTGACAAACTACTCGGTATGAATAATAATTTCATAGTAATAGTTTTGGCATTTTTCTTAACTAATGAAAACAATATTGTGTATGAAAGTATTGAGCAAATGTTTGATATACGTTAAGTGAAACAATTTAGTTCAAAAAATCTAATTGATTTAAGAGAATCTTAAATGATTTAATGCATTTCATTCTTGAGAATTAACCTAGCTATTAGCATTTAGTACAGCTGCAGCGCGATCCACAGCTGGAATTAAGGATTTTCTCAGCATAATCTTTGATTGTGTCTAATTGGTCCGTTTTCACCTACATTTAGTAGTGACATTTAGTACGTAACTCAGATACATCAATTTTATCGTCATGGAAGCTTATACATTTTCACTTGTCGCGGTATGTTCATTTGGCGTTATTGGAAATAGTCTTGTGATCGCTTCGTTATTAAAACAAAAGATTTTGTTAAAGAAGAACTTCTACTTTCTTGTCTTGCATCTCGCGATATGTGACTTGCTGGTACTGCTAAAAATATTTCCAATATACATCATAAGAGTCACTACATCGTTCAACTGCGTTCGTATGGATCGCACAATTGTTTGGTTTCAAATAAGTGGAGTATCTATGATGTTGATCATTTCATTTTTACGTTATCGTGCAATAGTTCATCCATTGAAACCTTCTTTCAGTCGACGAAAGATAAAAATCGTTTGTGGCTTAGCATACATCATTGGTTTTCTTATGGCAGTTGAAGTAGCAACTCAACCGTGCATTTTAGGTCCTGAAGGTCGTTATTACATTTATACGTTGCTTGTTTTTTACGCCTGTTTCTACATAATCCCAGTAATGTTCATGACTGTGGTTTACTCCATAATCGCTCGAGCATTGATCAAACAAAAAAAAGCACTAAAAGCATTCTCGAATGTCACACAGTCTCATCTACAATCCAACTCAAGTCTTCAAAGACACACTCAGAATTGTAAAACATTTTTCGTTTGCATCAGCACGGTTTTCTGCTTTGCATTGGGTCATATTTATTTCACGACAGCTCGGTTGGACATGTTTTATTCTGCAGAAACTAACTTGTTAAATCTATTAGTTGCTTATTGTTTTCGAGTTCTCGGCTCGCACGCCGTCAATCCATTAATCTATGGAGTATTAGACAGGAAAGTATTGTGTTTTTGGAAGCGCTGCACAGGAAGACAAATTTAAGCTAATTCAGATCGAAAAACGTTTGCTTTTGAATCACTTACATATGTTTCCTGTTCTATAGATAGTTTTGGTGTTGTAGCCATATGATATTTTCCCCATCCATCTTAATCAAGAAGGTCAAGTTAAACCTCTTTTCTCAACTGACATTGGGTAGACATCACACAAAATTGGTATTAATAAAGGGAAATTTCATGAACAGCTTTTGTTCTTCAGGCTTATTTAGGTACAACTGGGATCAACTATAAGGCTTAGATTTGTGATCACCACCATAACAGATTTCTCCACAGTTTTTCTATTTTCATTGCAAACTTGGCCTCGTGCTGTAATCAAAATACAAACAGCTGTTTTTTGAACCCTCAAGATATATTTGACACCAGTGCTCATTTATGTAGATATGTAAAATAAGCTCTTATTCATGAAGTATATTGTCTCTAAGTTTGTAATCTTTGAGTGTAGTTTACTTAAGCACATAAAAATAGATTATATTGTTGTAAAAGTTCATAATATAGCTGATGACGATGAAAACATTTACACCGACTAAAACACTTAATGAAAGCTTATTATAGGCATCTACTATAAACTATTTTCTTTACAAATTCGGCCGTACAAGCATTGAATTCTTCATATGTAGAATACTCCACAAACAACTGTGGATCTTATAAAGATTCAAATTAGTTAAAAAAACGAGAAAAATCTTGAAATTACCATACTTGGTATGTTGTTTTGGAAATGATAACATGTTTTCTGCTTTTAATTGTTGCAAAAAATTTCTAGTACCTTTGATATCAGCAAACATTTAATCATTGCAAATTGATGATAACTTACTCAATTTCTGAAATTTACTCAATTTAGAGAAATAATTTATTTCAAGTCTCTAATATGGTTTTGTGTCAAATAAATTGACCAACTTAGATAATTTTTATGTTTTATCAAAGAAAACGTGCCTATTTACATAACTCTAATGCTGCGCTAGCTATATTGTTTTTTTCTTTATTCACTGAAAAAGAAATTATTGAACAGGTTAAGTATTTTTACAACATGCTTCTGATTGGTCTCTTTCAACTCACATATACATATTAGGAATGTTTTGTTGGTCAGCCATATGCCAATCCTATCTTTTTGGAAGCTTATTGCTTTCCCATGCATTGTCGCAATGTATGTGTATTTGGTATTGTTGGAAAAACCTTCGTTCAATCAAAGAAAGATAAAATGTTTTGTAGTTTAGCGTACATTAATGGTTTTGTAACGACGTTTGGAATGAAAATTCGAGTGTTTATTGTAGATCTTTGAGGTCCATATCTTCTTTAAAAATTCTTTATTTATTTTTTGTCGATTCTCTGCTTTTCAGTGAGTCATAGCAGCATGGCAGCCTGAAGCAGCCAGCTTATGCACTGATGTTGATAGCGCTTCTTCATTTATTATTATTATTTTTGAATACATTGCTTTAGTCATCTGCGCAGTTTCAAGTAATAACTTTGCCATTTTGTCCCAGAAGAGTTAGAAGTTGCGTTCTTTTCATTTGAGAAAATAGAAGAAATATGGAGAACAACAAAGATGGTGTAATGTACGATTTGAAATTTAAAGCCTTTCATAAATAAAACAAGTTCTCCCGGTAATTTGTTATTTAGACGTTTGTGATAAAATTCAATTCTCGCTTTTGAGTTTTGTCATTTCCATAGCGTACTGTACTTCATTGTACTTTGAACCAATCATAAACCTTGATAAAAATATCAAACTTTATACCCGGACAAATTTAAGGATGACCAGAATTAGATTGACGGCAAATTTTACCATTAAAATTTCGTTTATTTACCATGGCCTAATGTACAGGGTGTAAAAAATTGAGGCCTTTTGAAACTGACGTATCGTGACGATTTCAATGTCTATGTCTATGCTACGTCAACAAGTGCATAAAGTATTGTCAGTCACTAGCAAATATAACAGATCTTTCTCACCACTACTATAAGGTTTATCGGAGCCTATGTACCATTGGGGTTATTATAGTAATAACATGGTTGCCTAAGGATCTTCTGTTATCACAGTGAGCCTCATCAATAAAACAATACGCCTATATTGTTTTCAATTT